TGGAAGTATCACAGTATACGGTGAGTAAATTAATGGATAAACTACATGGCCAAAAGTATGTGGAAACTCAAACATGGTTATTAAAATTCTTATTCCAGGGTGGTCCAGTTAACAGAAACATATCCAGGAATATTTTACAATAACAGATTTTTTTAATCCCCTTTTTTCTTTCGGATTTTCTCTCCACACATCCACAAGTTGTTGTTTGCACCTGCAAGAAAACACAGGGCCATAAACCACACCAAACTGGGGAAACCATTTCTTTATGGAGCTGGCTTTGTGCATGGTGGCATTGTCATTTTGAAAACAGCAAATGGTCTCCAAACTGTTAATATGTACTTCCTCCAGAAAAGCAATAAACAGTTTGTTCTTCAACCGATTAAACAAACAAGATAAAGTGTTTAATGCAGTTTCCCCTGGTGTCCAGCCTTTGTGCTAAGCTAAGTTAGCCATCTATCATCTCTTATTAAACCTCTCAGGGGCACAGAGGTGTCCACATACTTAAGGCCACCCAGGATAGATTATTAGTATCAATATTGCACTGTGAAAATACTCCACAAGTCAAAGTCCTCCATTCAGAACTTTACTGAAGTAGTATGCACGAATCAGAAACTTTACTTATTTACTAAATGCATACAAAGTAAAAGTACTCATTCTGCAGGAAAATGGTCCCTGGATGAATGTGTATGAGTTGCAGCTGTGCTAAATTACCAGTGGAGGGTCTAAATCTTCCAAACCTCAACTAATCGCCATGGCAACCAGATTCCACTGTAAGACTGTCAGGGGACGTCTGGTGTGTGTGTGTATGTTTGTGTGTGTGTGTGTGTGTGAGAGAGAGTGAGACTACTTATTTAGATCACTCTGCATTCAGTGTTAAAGAGCTTTGAACTCTTGTTAAGATAGTTGTGTTTTAATTGATTAGAAATGTCCATATTTGGGATTCTGTCTCCGTCCGACACCAGGAGGAAGAGGAGGAGGAGGAGGTGTCACCAGCATATAATCAGACATGATTAGTTGCGCTTCCATCTTTACAATTGCTGCACACAGACAGCAACTGCACAGACCACCAACTTAAAGGTTAACATACTTTTAGAGCCAACTTCCTTTGCCTCATACAACCTCCATCACTCCTCTTTTCATCTACGGTCACTTATCTTATAAATATAAAGATTCAGGATAAGGGAGAACATTTGTATGTGTGTGTGTGTGTGTGTGTGTGTGTGTGTGTGTGTGTGTGTGTGTGTGTGTGTGTTAGTGTGTGTGTGTGTGTGTGTGTGTGTGTGTGTGTGTGTGTCTGCTGAAGTTTCTCAGGCCCAGCAGCTTCATCGTGTCTCTGTTTAATTGGTGTATCAAATTTCTGTCTCACCCCACTTGTTTCCCAGAGGGATACCCCACAGTTCACACGCTCTGATGTATGTTCTTTAACCATAAAACGCCACAAACTGATGATACCTGGCTGTTAAAACACTTAAATATTTTCCATAAGTAGACATTGCATTCCCACTGGAGCTTTAAATCATTCTTTAAGCTGAAATGCCAGAAATTCAAACATTAACATGCGCAGATTTAGTCTTTTTTTTAATAATAAATTGAATACTTTTATGGGTTTTGGACTGTTAGACGAAACAAATAATTTAACGCTTCTTCCCGTTCTTGCCAAGAGTTAGATTGGAGATGAGAAGATTGATATTGCTCTCATGTTTGTATGTTACCGTAGCTTAGCACAAAGACTGGAAAGAGAGGGAAAGCTTGACTCTGTCTTAAGTTAACACAGTTTGCATCTGTAGATAATAAGGCTTCCTACTAAAATAAAATCAGCATGTTCGGAGTATTTCTGGGGCTTACTGAAAGGCATTCTGGGAAATTTAAGGAGGCAGGTTGAAAGACTGTGGAAAAATGCAGTACACGCCAAAAACTGATGATATCTGACTGTTTAAATACTTAAATATTTTCTTTAAGTTGACATTCCCACTGGAGCTTTAATGGGCAGCTGTAGTGCTGGAATGTATTGTATATAGCAGCATGCATAATGTATGTGTGAGTGTGCATTATACTCCACATGGAAAGCACCAGGTGCCTTCATGAACTGACAGTCACTAACTCACTGAAGTATAATGCTGTGGTGTGTTTACTTACCCTACTCGTGGCCCTGTGTAGGTCAGAACAGCTGTCAGATGATAGTGATGAAAAGTGTAGGAAACACAGAGGGGGGGTTAACATGTATGTGGGAGAGTCCGCAGGGCATTAATGATGAGATATTGACTAGTGAGTTGGACATGAACACAACATCTGGGAAGGTGTTTGTGAGTCCAGATTAGTTTGCATGTTCTCTCTCTGCTAATAAGAATTGTGATTTTTCATGTCAAGAATATACAAATTTTACCAAGGAAATTCGGATTCGTGTCGTGCTTTTTATTCTTTTGCAGTGGAGAAGGAAATAAAGAAATGTCATGGCACAATCAGCTTAGGCAAAAAAAAAAAAAGAAAAAAACAAACTAAACAGGAAGTTTCTGTAATTGCTTTTGGTAATTGCTGCAAGGCTGAGCCACATGAGCTTTTGTTTCATTATTTTGCAGTGGGATTCCTGGTGTACAGTTTCATTTTCATGCTTTGTGTATGAAAATACCTCTCCTGTTTGTCAGATAATAGCGAGGGCTCATTGTTTTCGCCTAATAATACCCACAATTTTTAAAATAGAGCATTCAAAAGTTGTTGTTTGTTGCAGCGGGAACTCGCTGTTCTTCATGTATAAAAACTATTACTAACTAAGGTCTACACGGGCTAATCGACCAGATTATTTTCTATTTTACACAAACAGGTTTGAGCACATAAATCGCGATGTTTGGCTGTACACCACAGGGGATTTACTCGCACAGTAGGAGTTGGAATTAAACAACATTTCTGAAATTGTACACTGTTTGTCCAGCTTAACAGGAATTGATGATATGCCTTAAATCATTATGCATTACTTAGAATATAATTTGTTAACTTTCATTAGAACCAATTCTTGGGACTGTTAACAGGAGCAATTTGACTTTTCTATTGCTGATTTGTGCCAGATAATAATAAGATAATCAACTTAACTCTGCATTCAGACGAGTTAAGTGATCCATCTTAAAAAGTTTAACGAGTCAAGATTCACTAGATCAAGCTTTTAAGAGCATTTTGAAGAAAATCTGATGCACTTATTTTGTCCTTGTAGCCGAAACACTTCATCCGTGACAGCTGGCTTTCACACACTCCCCAACAGCATCTGTTTCTCAGACTGGAGAATAAGCTCCTATTTGCACCCACTCCTGTTCAGTGTCCGACTAAAAGCATTTAGCACATATGCTGACAGCAGTAACGGTGTCGTATGAATGCACAAATGATCAAGATGTGGCAGTTTCCAAACCTCCAAATGTCATGCAGCGTGGGTGTGGGAGGTCTGAGGGCTGGAATGTGTAACAGCTGGATGTCTTAGCTTGGCAGATGAGGCGGGTAGCTGGATGATAGGGGTACACAGGGCAGTGTGGAGGAGGAGGAGGAGGCAGCCTGGGAGAAGAAGGGTATGCACGGGGGGATCCCACCCTCCTCCTATTGCCCATGAGAACCTGGAAGTGGTACATTTTCCGAGGATTTTCTCACATGAGGCAATGGAGTCGGTCCCCCAGGAGTGGAGCTTAAGGCATCGATCCAATCAGATACGCCCTCCCCAGCTGCTGTCATCCCTCACACTCCTGCTGCTGTGAATCAGAATATATACATCACAAAGTGCTAGAAGGAAGGTTGAGTTTGTAGCAAATATCACATGGCACTGTTTTGGTTTCTCATTGATGTGTCAGTATTGTGTAACTGAACACCACATTTTATCCAAAGCCCTCTTTTCCTTTTTGTTGTTGAAACAGCAAATTAATTAATTTCTCTTCTGCTGCAGGTCAGTGTCAGCATTACCCTGATATTCCCACGTTGTCATCACAACAGCTGCTTTTCAACCTTTTTTTCTGCACAAAGTCCACATGAAACCGAAATCAGAGTGCCATTACTAAGCTAAGCTAATTGCCTCCTGGTTCATTATGCACAGATAGGTGAGTGGTATTGGTCTTCTCGTCTAACTCTCGCCAAGAAAGTGAATATGTTGTATTATTCTTGTAAGTTTTAAGCACATTAAATGCATGTTTAAAAGGAGCCTTAAAGGAGGAGCTTGTTCTGAGCTTTTAAGAGCATTTATTAAAGGTCCAGTGTGTAACATTTTGGATGATCTATTGGCAGAAAAGGAGGAGGAGCTGCGATCTGCAAACCACTAGATGCCACTTAATCCTACACACTGGACCTTTAAGTTCTGATCTACTAGCTGGTGTAGTGTTGATACAATGTGCTGCAGAAAATCCTAAAGTTGCATACTGGACCAGGATCCAAGTGTGATGTGTAAACTTGAAACACTGACAATGGACTTGAAGGGAAGTAGGAGACAAGTAGGAGACATCTTGTGTCCAGCAGGAAAACTTTTTGAAATTAACAACATTTGCATATTCATAGATTTAGGTAGTTTTAAGGATTTTAATGTAGAAAATTACATGAACATATCAGACATTATTGTTCAAGCAGACTACTCTATGAGTTGTATTACATGTCTGGAGGGGAAAAACCTTCAGTAAACAGTTTCTTAGATACTTGCTGATGGCTGCAGTTCAGTGTTCTTCTCAAGGACACTTGAGCTTAAGACTCTTGCCCATTTCGACATGGATGACGACCTGGAATTTAGACACAGAGCACAATGTGGACTAAACCTGTTTATTATGGCCTATATATATTTAAAAACTCCATATTTTACTGAGGTTATTTCTGTGCAGGACGGGTGTGTCATTGTGGTACCACAAATGTTTTTTCTTCATGCTGAAGTCTTGTCTTCGGGGACTCACTCATCAACTCACACAGGGGAGGAGTTTTAGTGTGTGTTGGGGCAACTCTGAGTAACCAATGACTTCCATCATCAGTGTAGCAAGCCTGCCTCCACACTTGGGTCTCCCCCTTGTCCATGAGTGCTTTTTCATGAGGGAGGTTTCACCGGGAGATCTAGAGGGAGGGTCTCTGAGTGTGAGCAGAGTTTTTATGTCTCTTTTTTCATTCAGTGGATGCTCAGTGGCCCTTGAACAGCTTGGATTTAACCGTTGATCAGCTGGGTAACAGGTGGCGCTTGGGGAAACAGTGAGAGCGCTGTGTGGAGTGCTGCTGCACGCTGAGACACTTTGAGGGGCTGTTGCAGGAGCCAGCATCATGTTGAGGATTCAGACGTGGTTGCTTCTCCTGGTTCTCTGTGCTGGGAACTTGGAGGCCTGGTTTTGGCAGACAATTGATGACCCAACCACAGAGACCCCAATGGAGACAGGAACTACAGGTGCCACCACGGCAGCGGGAACGGCAGGTGCCACCACAGCAGCGGGAACGACAGGTGCCACCACAACAGCGGGAATGACAGGTGCCACCACGACAGCCAATGCCACAAAGAATAAGAAGAAGGAAGAGGAGGAGGATGACAACCTATCCGGGGTTGGGGAAGAAATCATCAACGTGGCCACAGGAATCCGTAAGTTTGTCGAGGCGTGGGATGCGACCCCGACCCCGACCACCAGGACTACTAACGGAGGCCTGACAGAGAAGGTGGAGAGCGCTAACCCTAACATGACGGGTAATACCGACAGATTCAAAGGGATGGGGGTGGAGGAGGGGTCTGGGATAAGGGTAGGGGATATTTCAGGATCCAGGGCTGATCTTGGGTCAGATGTAGAATCAGTGGTGGTCTTGAAAGGTGATGAAGTCCTGACTAGCAATTTAACCAGTATTATAGGTGATGTTTCAAAGATCAATGGGACTGTTGAGGGTGTTTTGAATTCCATGCCAACTCCCCCTGATAGTCGCATCAATGGTTCTGATCCACATTGTCTCCCTGTGCCTTCTGATTGGTCAATCTGCTCTGGCAAACAGCCAAAATTTTTCACATTGCCTAACTTTTTTAACCACACATCTGTGGAGGAGGCTGGGGCGGTCTTACAGGAGTGGGTGTGGCTCACAAGGGAGGGGTGTCACCACAGCACAGAGTGGTTCCTCTGCCTCCTGCTGGCACCCAGGTGCCATTCCCCTACCACGCCCCCACACCTGCCCTGTCGCAGCTTCTGCCAGGTTTTGCAGGACAGCTGTTGGGCGTCTCTGGAAAATGGGCGTCTCCCGGTGGAGTGTCACCTCCTACCTGAAAGAGCGCAGGAGCGCCCTACGTGTGTTTCAGTTAGTAACTGGAAAGGTAACCCCCAGCGGGTTAGAATGTATCCTGTTTGGTGATACATTTTGAACCCCATGTCACGTCACTTCTGTCGATGTTTAAGCCTTGGTCTGTGTGTGTTTGTGCCGTGTTTTGTTTTGGTAACACACATGTCCGAACACATTTTTGCTTTGATATCTTTGCCCATCTGATGATTGGTTTTGCACGCTTTAGCGACTTTTAATGCAAATGCAAGTACTTTAAATTACAGCTGACCATTTTTCAAACTATGTTTTTAAATGTTTGAAAACCCTTATAACTAATAATTGTGATGCAACCAATTTGTATAGCTTATTTAGTTACAGACTAACTAATAGTCAACTTTACACCCTAACTTAAAGGTCCAGTATTTAACATTTTAGAGGATCTATTGTACAGAAGCAGCCTGTCCTCATTCCCAGGTCGTCAAATATGGATGGTAAATGATGAACGGTAGTTTCAACTCAAAGTAGACATGATGTTCACTGTGATAATAACTCAGGCATGTTTCAAGTCTCTGCAAGTTGAATTTCCAAAACCTACTGACATAAGTGGATGCATTTAACTGATTGATGCCTGGAAGGTGAAAAATGGTTCCCAGTAATGTAAAGTATAAACAGTATGCAAATAATGGGTTAAAACGTGCAAAATCAGCAGTATGGTCACTGCAGTCGTTGTCGCTACTGTTGTTGTGTCTCTTTCTGTCCGCTGAGGAGGTTGTTTAGCACGAATGCATGACGCCAACACCTGAGTTCACGTCACTGTCCCAGGCTGCATGCCACCTCCATGTGATTGTCTTGGTGCAGCACTGCATATGCAAAAGCAATGTTTTTGTGTGATAAGTCAGCAATGGTCAGCAACAGCAACGTTACAGCTTCTTTAAAACCTTTGCAGCTTTTATTTATCCTACTAAAATCAAACAGAGACAGCAATGCAAAAGGCAGCAAAGTCCATTCTGGGTGCATCAAACACATGAACATACTTTATATCAGTGGTTCCCAACATTTTTGACCTCTTTTCTATCATTTAGTAAACTGACTAAGTGACATATTTTATGCATATTCCATATTATATTAAAAACTGTACAATGAACCCAAAAAGTGAACTAAGTCAGTTGAGCAGATTATGGCCTGTTTAGGGAACTTTTTATAATAATTTACAACAATTATATAAATATGCTTCTTTTTTAACAAATTCAGAGTTCTCTTTGTCCCGATGCTGGGCTATGGTTCTATTAGACAATTTACTTTTCTTTACAGACTATACCAAATGCTGAGATATAGCCTCACTGTGTATGTATATCAAGGACTCACAACCCCCCATGAAGCTGTTGGCGACCCCTAGTGGGGGGTCCCAGGTTGGGAACCACTAATTTATATTAAGAAAAGCGTTGGAGTATATATGATATACACAGTTGTTAAGCTCTCCCCTTGAGTATTAACCCTTAAGACAGGAAATACTTTAGAGGCCCACGTCCATCCTTTCAGTATAGCTTCATAAACTGTGCACTATCGAGTCTTCATCATGGGAGGATTGCTGCTGTATAGACTCGTCTTTCAAGGGTTAACATTGTGAACCTAAAACCCTCGTTATCGTATGTTTTCCCACAGGAACATTTAATGTAAATGTTACAAGTTTAAGTGGCAGATAGTTTTGTTATTTTCCATATGCCACAAGTAGCGTTCTTGTTTGGATAACCTTTAAACTCAGACATAAACCATACTCAGATATGTGTGCAGATCTAATGTGTCTACCCTTCAGTAGACTCTTAAATGGACGCTCTTTACATTATGCAGGATATGAAACATCAATGTTCTTGTCGTTAGACTGTTTTTATTGGGTGTGAAACACCTGCATTGGCTACCTCAGTCACAGATGTTTAGGGTCTTGTAAACTGATTATTGTTTTGTATAATTTGTATTTTATTCTAACTTTACACTAACAGGATGTTATATCAGTAGTTTTAATTGGAATAATTCTCTCTATGGGACAAGAGAACTGGTGGTTTCATACATGCAGCTCTCACTATCACTCTGTCACAACCTACTCTTGCATGCCGGTCACTCATTTCTGTCCTGGGTTATCTACTTCCACTATTTCTGATCAGCTGATTTAGAGGCGAGTGGCGTTTTAGCATCCAGAGTCACACTGAGGGAAACAATTGGGCCATCTGTGGTGGGGAGGATGGGCTGTGGATGGCATTTATGATAGAGGCTGTGGGAGGGAAAATGGTCCGCTGCGAAGAAAGAGTGTGGCGATTGTGCGCTCGGTTTGGGAGAAAGGGCAACGGTGTCGCGGTAAATAACAAGAGAGCCTTGTGACTGGGATGAGACAGGGCGGCTCGAAGTCTCTGCCAGAGGTCAGAGGTTCCCAGCCAGTTGCCCACCCTCTCAAACCAGTTACACTTGATGGGTGGTAATCAAGTGTTCTTCCAACCATTAGAGGATAAGCCGAGACAGAGAGTGGGGCAAAGTGTGAGAGAGACTTTTATGTGAGCGGGGAATTACCCGCTCCTACAGGAAAAGTGGTTCCCAGTCAGTGCACAGTATCATTCAAAAACAGTTTCAAGCTGCATATTGGACCAATTTACAATTTTATATTAATCAGAGTCCTTCCTGTTTGCCTGAAATGTTTTTCAGTTAGTGGTGAGCTCTTGCAGCCACAGCAACAGAAGCAAAGATGAAACAAAGGCTTTTAGATTAAGTTCACTAGTCTTTACTTTTTGTTTTAATAATAATATTTAAATATGTAGCAGCCAGTTAGCATAGCTTATTGTAGTTTAAATACTGGAAACAGCTTGCCTGGCTGTCTCCAAAGGTAACAAAATCTGTATATATATATATTTAAGTTTTAACAGGGAAATAAAAATAAAATATGCACACACTCCTCCAACTGCTTATCGCTGATACCTGTTACAACTCACGTTTCTTCACACTGCCCAAAACCCTTTACATTTAATCTGGACTGCAGCCAAGAAACCAGACTATTTCAAATCTTGATGCTCTTGGAAAAGTGAGATGGGAACACAAAAAAAACCCAGCTGATGTCGTCTGAGCTCAAAGAGTCGCCCACTGATCCCCCATCAGTCAACTTTAATTTGCTCTCAGCTTATTCAAACATGGATTAAGGTCTGACTGGGGAGCAGTGGGAGGCTGTGGATGTCTCAGCTGTCACAGCAGTTGAAGCGTCAACTGATGCCACTCTGCTTCTTAGATGTGTCCAGTTGGTTTAGTCCCAAGAGGCTTGAACTAGAGCTGGGGGTGTTAATGGATGAACCCACTGGTTTAATTGGAAGTGGGGGGTCACTTTCATTCCGAGACACTCTTTGAAATGTTTCTTAACTTGTTTTAAAGGACTAGTGTGTAGGATTCAGTGGCATCTAGTGGTGAAGTTGCCAACCAACGGAAACCCCCTTATCTCATCCAAGTGTGTAGGAGCTTTCCTGCAGAAGTATTTCTGTCAACATAAATTGTATAAATAGTATTTTGTTAAACTGCAGCAAAAAGTAATGGAGAAAATATTTGCGGGTTTTCCCTCTGACGTCCTCCACCTACACCGCCTCAACTCTACAGAGTTTCCTGATGGATTTTCAATTTATTTTCAATTTATTTTTACTTTAATTAAATTTTCGTATGCTAAAGAAAATATATGTGTTTGATGTGTTTAGATTATTCAAGGTTTTTATACTAAATATTATGTAAAGTTCTGGAATTGCTAAGGTTTAGTATAATTACACTAAATAATGAAAGTGATAAATGTGCACATACCTGTGAAAGTTATATCACATTTCTGCCAATAGATCCTCCTGAATGTGACACAGAGAAGCAGACTGTCTGAACTGTATAAATACCTCAGATTCTTTAAAATGTATAATTAAATTAGTTTGTTATTGCTGTGCTTACTTTTCCAAATAAGGACTGCAGCTTTCAGATGGAGGTAAAGCAAGTTCTGGTTGAGGCATACTTTGATAATGGTGTAATTTTCCTCCAACAATTTGCATGCACAAGTACCAAGATTGCTCACACAGAATCGAAGTACTGAGAGATGTTTTTTGTGTGTAATTACAGACGAGGAATGAGTAGGTTTCGATTTGGTGCTTGTGGACATTTTAGCTTGCAATGGGCCGGAGATTCTATTTACTTTAATTGAAGGGTTTTTTATGACAAGTCCTCCAAAAATACCAATACAGAAAGATTGATACCAATAGCAATCCAATACAATAAGCCATTCCTATACCACTTTGCAGGTTTCTGGCATTGTTTTGTAAGATGACCTCTTTACACTGTTGCAAGTCAGTAGTTGAGTCATTCATGAGCAGTTGCGTGTATTTCTAGAAAAAGATGTGCTTGTTCACGTGGAGCTGCCAATTTAGAGATTAAATGTTTGGCAGTACA